TTCACTTTATGGCCCTTAATCCTGTAATTGTGGACAAATGTGGGCGCAGAGGACTCTAATTTTTATTTATTATAAATGTTATATCACTGTCTTCGATAAAGTTTTGTCTATCCATTTATGGTGTTTTTTTTATTTTGGGGGTATTTTTGAATTTATTTACTTCAAAAAGTACCATATTTTCTATGTAAATTATGCTTATTTTTATGTTTTATTTTTTTATTTTTTTTTAACTACATTAAAATATCATTCCAATAAGTTCTTAGAGCTAAAACCAAAAGATGAAGTGACTTTGCTGTCTTATTTTGGTTTATTTTAGAATGATCTAAATTACAGTTTTTCCCATTCATTTCTATGGGTGCCCATTTTTGACCCAAATACAAGATTAAGGAGTTTTTATTTTTCACCCACTTAACATTGTAGAAATGAGTCAAAAAAAAAAATTGTGTGTGTTCAGGAGGCAAACTTAGGAAAAGTAGCCAAGTCTTGTACCGCTCAGATCAAGGGAAGTATTTTTTTTTAAATAAATCAAAACTATTTTGCCCACATTTGTCCAGAATACGGTTTTAGGGTTAAACTCCAACATGTCAACACAATGAAACGGGCTGTATCCAATCTTTAGATTTCTGTTCTGGAAATGAGAAATAGCCAAGTGCATATTTAATTATATAATACCTCATGTGCATATTTAAACAGTGTTAAAAGCCCATAATTCGTGTCCATGATATATATATATATATATATATATATATATGAAGAGTTCAGATGCAAAAGCCTCTAAATGCCATTTGAAATTTTCTTCTTTAATGATGATTTTTATCAAACTTGTGTATTTAAGTTCAGTAATTTCACTTAAATAACAATTAATAGGTAATTATCATTGCCATTTACGTGAAATTACTGAACTTAAATATACAAGTTTGATAAAAATCATCATTAAAGAAGAAAATTTCAAATGGCATTTAGAGGCTTTTGCATCTGAACTCTTCATATATATATATATATATATATATATATATACTTAAAAAAAAACAAGTTGAGTAAAAGATTAATTCAGTGATTTAAAAGATTCAGTGATTCAAACTGATTTAATCAAATGTACATATGATTTGTTTGTTTTCCTCACTGTACTGAACTGCTCAACTTTATTTTTATTTTACTGTCTGTGTAGAGTTTGTTTCTTGTTCTGCGAGGAACTATAACGGACGGTTTCATTGCTCTTGGAAGTGGCATGAGGAGCGGAAAGAAAGAGCCGTGGTGTATTTCGCAGCAATACGGTAACTATTCTGGATTAATCATTGAACAGGAATAAATAATAACATTTTATTTTGATGGTCACTTTTGAACATTCTGTTGACTATAAGTAGCTTTGCCAAGTATTAGAGTATTAGTAGACTGTCTGCTTAAAGGGATAGTTCACTTTAAAATTAATTGTTGGTATGTTTTATCTTACCTCAAGGGCATCCAAGATGTAGGTGTCTTTGTTTTTGCAGAAGTTTCAATTTTGATATTTTTAGGTCAAAGCGTTCTTGTCTGTCAGTCATATAATGGAGGTCTATGGTCACCACCTCAAAGAGCATGCACAGAGAAGTCCACATTAAACATGATTTAATGACTCGTGAATGTAAGTACACATTGATGGCCTAAGACACGAAACGAGCGGTTTGTGTGAGAAAACGAACAGTATTTATATTGTTTTACCTCTTGTAACAACAGCCACGCCCAAGTGATCCGAGCGCTTTGTGGCTGTGGTTACAAGAGGTAAAAACGATATAAATACTGTTCGTTTTCTCACACAAACCGCTCGTTTCGTGTCTTAGGCCATCAATGTGTGCTTACATTTACGAGTCATTAAATCATGTTTAATTTGGACTTCTCTGTGCATGCTCTTTGAGGTGGTGACCATAGACCTCCATTATATGACTGACAGACAAAAACGGTTTGACCTAAAAATATAAAAATTGAAACTACTCCAACTTATTTTATCCCAAACCCTACCATTCTACTAATACTCTAGTAAAACTCTAATGAGAGTTAGTAGACATATAAGTGCAATGTTACTTATAGCCAACAGAATATGTGTTAAAAGGACCATCAAAATAAAGTGAAACCAGCTTGTGTTGAAAGATCAAACCAGAGCTGAACTGGGCATGCGTTCATACAGGAACTCTAGTTTGATCAACTGCACTCTGGACTCGGATATCTCCGGACTGACGTGTATCGACGGGGATTACTGTCGGTACTCTGAAGAGCCTAGGAGCATCAACCTCACTCTGTTCGTCAGAAACCTGTATCGGCTGGAGGAACACCAGAGGACCTTCTTCATCCGGGACATTGGTGAGAGATGTGCGCCCCCGGGTGGTCACCACATGTATTGGACTCATCATTTATATGAACACTAATACATGATACTTAAAGGAGTAGTTCACTTTAAAAAAAAAAAACAACTATTGCTGATAATTTACTCACCCCCATGTCATCCAAGATGTCCATGTCTTTCTTTCTTCAGTCGAAAAGAAATTAAGGTTTTTGATGAAAACATTCCAGGATTTTTCTCCATATAATGGACTTCAATGGGGACCAAATGAGAGTTTCAGTGCAGCTTCAAAGGGCTTTAAACGATTCCAGACGATGAATAAGGGTCTTATCAAGCGAAACGAGCGGACATTTCAAAAATAAATAAAAAAGTTTACGTTTTATAAGCTCAAATGCTCGCCTTGCTCTGTTCTGTGATGCGCGTTCATGACTCTCCTGTTCGAACTCGTTCATCAAAATGAACGAATCTTTTTTCGAGTCATGACTCAAAGGGTCCTAGAGAAGATTATTCATCGTCTGGAATTGTTTAAAGCCCTTTGAAGCTGCACTGAAACTGTCTTTTGGACCTTGAACCGTTTGGTCCCCATTGAAGTCCATTATATGGAGAAAATCCTGTAATGTTTTCATCAAAAACCTTAATTTCTTTTCGACTGAAGAAAGAAAGACATGGACATCTTGGATAACATGGGGGTGAGTAAATTATCAGCAAATGTTTTTTCAAAAGTGAACTAACTATATTAATTCTGATGAGTATATCTGTTGATTTAGTATTTGACGCCAGAAATAGTGACCAAATCATTTTTGTGGGCACTACATGTAAATAAATACTCTTGTGAAAAATTACACTTTAGCATACTTCTAAAAAAAAAAAATGCATTATGGAATATTACAGAAATAATACACTGTGCTTTCAGACACTTAATTGCATGTTATTTATAACTAAACATATAGTTTAGGTTAAATTTATATTAAATGTAATTTAATTATGGTAAACTAAAGTTACATTAATGTCATTTCTGTTGAAACGTGTATGTCATGTATTTAAATATATATTAAAAAAAAATATATATATATTTTTTTATTCACAAATTTGTAACTAGTAAAATATTTTGGAGTTTGGAGTAAATAGTAAAATCTGTATTCATTATAAAAATGCCCATGACGTTGTACGATTTTACTAAATCTAAATGGGCCCTGGTTGGGAACTAATGTACTCAACTCTTCCTTCTGTCCTAACTCTAACTCTAACTCTCAGTCCAACCAGATAAAGTAAATATGACCAAGATCCAGGACGATGTGTTTGAGTGGCGCCCCCCTAAGACGTGGAGTTTCCCCTGCAGTTTCTTTCCCCTGTCCTACGAGGTCAAAGTGGTTCCCAACAATCATAGCTGTGACTCCACAGGAAGTCGTGTCGAAGTAAGACAATTTCCTTGATTTTTATTTTTTTATTTTCAAGATCAAAAACATTAAAGATGTTCATTTCTGGTATTATTAGAAAGTGGAAACCATTGAGACGCATTACAAGGTGAACGCCAAAAAACCATACACTTTCTGCGTCCGAGCTCAGGACAAAATAGCCAAAACACTTTGGAGTGACTGGAGTCGCCATCATATGTAAGTAAACTTTGACTTGCAGTACTGTTTGATATTTTAGGAAAATGTTCAGCTTTACATTGTGTATATTTTGTGTAACAGAAGAAAACACCGGCACACTTCGCAACAATAAAAGGTGTGTTGATTTGTCTTTTAATGACCATATTGATCATTTTTAGTTGATGTTGTATGCCAGTGCTCTTATTGACATTTCGATTCTTTGTTTTATGAATGCAGCCGGTCTCGAGGGATACATCACTCCGCTTGCAGCTATTCATATTTATATTCATTTTCTTGTATGTGCCACTGTAAAATTGATTTTTGCAATAAATTTTCCAGATCATTCAAATACTCAATGGCTTCATATTTCAGTTTTATCAGTTTAATCGCATCCAAAATAAAAGTTTGTGTTTAAATAATATATGTGGGTGCACTGTGTATAATTATTTTGTATATAAAAATTCACACACATGCATGTATATATTTAAGAAAAATGTGTTATTAATACATAAAATACTTATATTTAATATAAATTATGTATATGCATGTGTGTGTATTTATATATACAAAATAATTTTACACACTATACACACATATATTATGTAAACACAAACTTTTATTTTGGATGCGATTAATCATTGCCCAGCCCTTTTGAAATATTTTACTAGACAAGTTAACATTAGTCAATTTATTAACATTAACAATGAGCAATACATTTGTTGCAGTACTTAATCTTTGTTGATTTTAGTTTTCGACTGATCATTGTTATTTGTTGCCAATATTAGCTCAGGTCCAATAAACATCAACTTTTGATTTGAATAATCAAATTAACAATAAAATTAACATCAACTAAGATTAGTAATTGTTTTAGAAGTTCATATTAACTTATTTTTGAACCTTAATGAAAAATATTATCTTTACATTTATCATAAAGCATTATTTATGATGTGACTACAGTTCAAGCCTAGTCCATTGGCCTTATTTATAAAACATGCATAAATACACAGCAACGTTCATATATATAAGAGGACGTATAAAAAAAATAATGTGTATAAAATCTTCAAAAATTCATTTTAGACAAACTACACACAAACTACTGTAAAACCATTAAAGTTTAATTTACATTAAGGTTACAACCATAAATCCAATACCCACATCTGAGCACCGGATGAAATGCAGTTACACAAAACGCAATACTGTTTACATAAGTTAATATCTATCGAAATCGATGACAACACATACTTTGTGTTTAAAACAGAAGTGGGGGAAACACCAACAAGCTTCAATGTTATGACAAAAAAAAATAAAAAAATCTTGATATGATCTCTTTTTCTCCCCATTATCATGTGACCGCTTTATGAACATAAAACATACATCATCTGCATTTAGAAAAAAAAAAAAAAACATGCATGTAAACATGTCAAATATCCTCATTGTTCATTTGGAGAAGTGTTTTTATCTGCCGACGAAGCTGCAAATGTACGTTTATCTCTAACAGACAAAGAATGAAGCAGCCAGGCCAGAATTACCGCTTCTGTTAACACACGGCCTTCCTGTGACGTAAGATTTAGCAAAAAACTATTACATTTGCATCCACCCAAAAAAAAAGCTAATTACAGGAAGTGTGTCAGGCGGGGGATGAGGTCAAAGTACCGTCATGCTCGATGCTATTAATTGTTGAAATGCTTTTCATTGACCTGTTGAGGTAAATAGTGTTTTCAGGAGTCCAAATGCTAGAATATTTGTAACGAGATGAAGGACGCGAGACACAGAGAAGCGGATGACGTGGAGCAGCAGTTGTTTGGTCAGGTACCTTCTAGACTCAGTGCTGGACATGTCATTGATTCTGCCTCTTGGAGAGGAACCTGTCGGAGACAAATCATTCGTCACATTACACTTGACATGCTTATTACCGAGTCAAAGTGATAGTCGCGTGTATCTTCTTTTGGGGGCTTTTATTACCGCAAATATGTTACATTATTGTGGAAGACAACAGCATTGAATGAAGAGACAACGTGTGTTTTATTTCCATATTAAAAGGCACACCAGGCAGGAATCCCGTTTTTGTCAAACAGCGCCCCCTAGAGTCGCACTTGTGGAGTCGTGTTACACGGTATTCAATAGTACATTGTGTTTAATTTGTCGTTTAATGAGATCTAATATATGTTGTAAGTGGTGAGAATTTTCACGTGATTCATTCAATATGGGCCAAGCAGAGGAACGACCGAACACCTCCACGTTTTCCCTATTTAAAACCAGTTACACGAGTAGTGTACTCGACCTCGAACTATAATGTTTGGCGGAATACCACAGCAAGTGATTGGGAGCACTTCGACTCCTATTTGTAATTAAATAGGGAAAACGTGGAGGTGTTTGGCCGCTTCTCTGCTTGGATCCTAATGAATGAACTGGGCTAAGCTAAGTGCTAACAAAAAAGGTGGAGTATCCCTTTTAAAGTCCCCCTTTGATGAAAATCATGTATTTAATATTGTTTATACGTCTTAAAAAAAGAGTCTCAAAGCATGGTTTGAAATCGCTGGTGTTTCTGACGTCACAAACAACCTTGTAATCAAGTCTCTGACCTGACATGAGTGAGTGGACATGGGGCTAATTAGCATATTCATGGGTTTGCGTGTACTAAATGAGGCTTATAGAGTGTTGTAAGGCATGAAGAATCACCTTTCCCAGTGCTTGTGGTTGAGACCCGAGAAGTCCTCCAGTTTAGCGATTTCCTTCAGATACAGAGACAGCTTGTAGAGCTCTTTGTCTTTCTCACGGTTTAAGTGTGCCTTCATGAACGGTCTGATCTGTGACCAATACATGGAGGAGAATACATCTTTAAAAACATGTAATACACTTTCTTATAACGCAGACACAAAAACAACAGAGAGACACTAGTGGTGGGAGAAAAAAACAACAGCTGGGTAGCTTACTTACAAATTGTAGTTGGTTACGGCTTTCAAATCACACGACAAATTGTAGTTAGTAACTATCCATTGAAATCCATTACATTGCATATTTTAGGTAATACTTTTGACCTGGCTCGTTAAATCACATTAAATTGAATCGGATAATCTTCCACCACGTTGATATAAAAATACAAAGAGAAAGAATACAGGTCCTTCTCAAAATTAGCATATTGTGATGAAGGTAATTATTTTCCATAATGTAATGATAAAAATTAAACTTTCATATATTTTAGATTCATTGCACACCAACTGAAATATTTCAGGTCTTTTATTGTTTTAATTAGAGATGGGCAACGATTAATTGCGATTAATCGCATCCAAAATAAAAGTTTGTGTTTACATAATATATGTTTGTGTAGTGTGTATAATTAATTTGTATAAATAAATACCCACACATGCATGTATATATTTAAGAAATATGTGCATGTATATATTTTATATATATTTATTCACAATTAATATTATATAGAAATATAAATATTTGATATATTAATAACACATTTTTCTTAAATATATACATGCATGTGTGGGTATTTATATATACAAATTAATTTTACACACTACACACACATATTTTATGTAAACACAAACTTTTATTTTGGATGCGATTAATCGTGATTAATCGTTGCCCATCCCTAGTTTTAATACAGATGATGTTGGCATAAAGCTCATGAAAACCCCAAATTCCTCAAAAAATTTTTTAAAAATAATGAATATATATATATATACACGTGTGTATATATATATTCTAACAATACAAGTCAATTTAATGCATCCGTGACAAATAAAAGTATTACTTTCTTTTACAAATAAAAATCTTACAGAAGTGTATATTACTTTAGAATAATTAATAATAAGAATCAGGTCAAATCAGATCACAAGGTGCCTTCCTAATTCTTTATTCATTCCCAACTTGAATCAGAAATAAACCGTAAACATAGACTCCAGAATACCTTCAGTCCATTCTGTGGATTCATGAGGAAGTTTCTTCCGATGTCATCAAACATAACGGTGTTCTTCCTGTCGTAGAACTCGCTATATTTACCCCATATGACTCCCAAAGGCTTCACCTGAAACATGACAAGCAGACATTATGCATCATGCAAATGAAATGTAGAGACAATGGCATGTTTTTTTACTAGAATCTGACCTCTACGACTCCTCTTTTCGGTGTGTGTACAGTGATCATCGCTGCACTGTCCAACATGAAGGTGATCTTGTAGTTTGGGTTGTCCGTCACTCCCAGTTCCTAAAAGACCACAGGTATTGCATTATGTTAATGTCAGTAATAATAAAGTAAAGTTTAGTCCCCCAGAATTTTATCCCTTAAAACTCCAAAAAGTGCTTTTTTTCCTTGAAAAATATTCATCATGCCTTAAAATAGCGTGAATGTAACTCGACACCCTTTATGAATATGCAAATGAGCCCCGCCTCCTTTGGCTGCTAGACCAGTAGGTGGCGATGACACATGAATTTCGTTAAAAAAAAATTCGTGAATTCGATTGATAAATTAAAATTCGTGAATGAATTTTAATTTTAAATAGCAGCTAGACTAAAATTTATAAATGCCCGGGGTTTGTGGTTTTTTTTTTTTTTTTTTTATGTCTGATGTTTTTGCTGTTTTTTTTATAAATTCGTATGTTTTGTGAGGTTGAAGTTACTTAAATTGCTTCAACCTCAAAATAAAAAAAGATTTTACTACTACAATTGACTGAACACGTAATACACGCGAGGATGACATCATCATCTTCACAGATTTGCGTTTTTGTTGTAATGTGGAAAACAAAACGAGGACCTACTTTCATTTTAGCATCAATCCACTTCATACTTGTTGCAGCTAAAAAGGAATGAAAGAGAAACAGCAGATCTGAGCCTCTGAGCGTCTTGAAAAGTCAGCAAAACTTCATTATCTAGATATGGATACTTACACCAGATGACAATATCATAGTCCTCATATGCTGATGTAAGAAACTCGTGTAAGTACGGTCTCATCAGCTCCTGACCCGTCTCTGCACAGGACTTATGATCTACATTTAAAGAAGAAAAAACAAATACGTTTATATACATAAATCAGTGGCAAGCGGTGACTTCTTTAACTGGGTATGCTGGGTTGTGCATCATGTCAAAAAAGTGCCCGATGCAGATACTATAAGCAAGACGCTTGTGTTCGCTCTATATTTAGTTAGTCCCTCCAGGATTTCACGATTTTTTTTTTGCGATCAAAATGACTGATTTTGTGGTGGTAATTTCCAAAAATTTGTGAAAAAATTAGCGATTTATATTTAACATTTACCATAATAGTATTCAGTTCTTCCAGAAAAACGTTTTTTTTGTGTGATTGTTGCGGGCAAAAATTGATTGATTATGCGGCCCGTTTTCTTTAAAAATGCGATGGAATATGTGGGATATTTATGCGATGAAATTGCAGGAATTTGCAAAAATTGAGGGAACTTGCAAAAATTGCGGTTTGATGAAAAAGAGAAAAAAAAGTGATTCCCCCAACATCCTGTTAATGTAAGAGTCATTTCTTATTACTTCCTTTGATAAACAAGCATACTACATCATAGAAAGTGCTGGGAATATTTAATTTCTCATCTTGTTTTATTTCAGACTGTAAGAGTGTAAATAAGGCGTGGCCCCTTTAAGAGCTGCGCGCTCCCTGTTGAACTCTCTGCAGTGTTATATGTGCGCCACAAACACCCCATGTGTGCGGGTAATTTCTGTTTGATGCTACTTCTTTTATCTTATGTTGTTTATTAAGTAACGATGTGACGGTTCGATTTGTGAGATGTCAATCGCCTCCGTGAGTCTGTCTGGCGTCGCGTAATTGCGTCACTTCATAACGTTCCCATGGAAACAGGGGGAAATGGCTGCTCCATGTGAAGCAAACGCAACATTTTTCAACTTTCTGATAAGATACATGTGACTTTTTTGCAACGAAAATGCGAGGATTATGAAATTATGCAAACCCCGCATATTTTGCACGTAAATCGGCAATTTATGCGGCGAAAGTGCGGCGTATTTGAAAAAATGCGGCCCCCGCATAAATATGTGGACTTTGGCTGATTTTGCATTGAATTCAGCGATCGCATAATCGCGTTTTTCTGGAGGGACTGAACTTAAACAATTCAAGCAGAGCAGATCTTTGCATTTCAATTTAAAGGTCAGCATGAAACGGAAGTCTTTTCTTGAATATTCAAGTGAAACAACTTCTCAAACTAGACGAAATGTAGAGCGGGACTTGATTTTGTCCATCTGGAATTGTCTGGATAGTTGTGTGGTTTGTTATTGGTGTGATGTCATGTGATTGACAGGTTGTCCCGCCCCTTACACCAGCAAACGAGTCATCAAAATGTCGTTGCAAGAAGATTACGAGGGTAAGTTTTGATTTAATGACGACTTTGCTATAATTGGCTAGACGGATTTACTCAGTGCTTCTTATATGATCAGATGCACGTGGTTTGGGTTTCAAAGACTCACCGAAGAGTGTATAGTCAATATCTAGAACAAGCAATCTCTTTCCTGGTCTTGGGGGATTTAACTCGTCAACTTTATAATCTTTCACTCGACGGGCTATCTTGGCCAAATTCTCCTCTCTGTATGAAAGGAAAACAAATATAAAAGGTTAATTCAGAACAGTGGGCTGAATAATATTGTTTCCAAATGTATGACAGTGGCTTTTTAATACATTTAACTCTGGTACTTCATTAGTAAATGTATACAAGTAAATTGACCGTTTAAAAGTGTGGGGTCTGTATGGTTTTTGAGTCTCAGTGTGTTTATTTGATCTAACATACAGTAAAAACAGTTTCCTATTCAAATATTTAATTAAATATCAAATTTAATCTATTCCTGAGATCAAAGCTGAATTTTCAGCAGTCTTCAGTGTCACATGATCCTTCAGAAATAACTCTAATATGATGACTTGCTGCTTAAAAAATCAGTTGTGATGCTTAATATTTTTATGGAAACCATACTTTATTTTTTTTACAGGATTCTTTCATAGAAAAAGCAGTTAAACAGCATTTATTTTTTAATTTTGTAACATTAAAAATGTATTTACTCCCTTTTTGATCAATTCAAAGCATACTTACTGAATAAAAGAGTTTATTAATTTTACACATATAATATCTTACTGACCCCAGACTCTTGAATGTGGAATAAATAGCAGGGTTTCACTGACCTGTTTTCAACCTCAGTCACTTCCTCTTCAATGTCAAAGTCATTGACCACATCATCATTTTCTGGTGGAGGCGCCAACACATCTTCCTATGGAGAGGAAAATCAAAGTTTATGGGATATATAGAAAGGTTATATACACATATAATATATTTACATACACGCACGACTTTGCTATTGGCTATATATAATGTGTACACACATACACTATATATTAGATATTGCATAATATATATATATATATATATATATATATATTATATCACACATACATGCATAAATCAGGTAGAATATTTTAAAAATAAATACAATTACACTTAATAATTTTACCAACCAAACTTTCCTCTCTTGTGCCCATCATCATAATTTTGGTATTGGGCTTCAATTTCAAGTCCCCCAGTTTGACTTCATCATCTGCTGGTTTACCTGACAACAGTAGAGGGTTAAACAACGTTTCTGTTTTTATTTGCATATTGTGTATCAGAAATAGAGTGTGTTTTTAACACCACTCACCTTTCACTTTCAACCCCAGGAGCTTCTGTCGTTCTGGAAGAACTCCTGTGAGGGATTTAATGGACTGTTTCAGATCCAACACCGTGTCCTCCTCAGACAGTGTGCTAATGGAGTACTCCTGCCCACCCCACTTGATAATGACCGAAACAGACATGCTGGTGGATGAGCTGTAAAGGCGGTTTTGTGTTATTAGCACGTCATTGGAATGATTTTTGATATGAAATCAACTGTCAGAAACACAATGAACACTTTATGGAGTTCATCAGCATACATGGGGTTGGACGATGAAACGGAAACATCTAGTTTTAGACCACGATAATATATTATTATGGTATAGGGCTTCCTTTTGCAGCAAATGTCTTACAGTGGCTCAGAAATATTTCGATCTGGTGACTGTTCAGGCCATGGGAGATGTTTAACTTCACTTTCATGTTTATCAAACTTTTCTTTCTGTGTGTATTGGTGCAATATCTTCCTGATATATGGCAACCATGTTTCAGTTTCATTGTCTAACCCCTGGATGTGTTACCTTGGAAACGTTACACCAACATCAGCATCCACTGTTCAGTACACAAGACAAATGGGTCAGGTGCTACATCACTGTAAAACATTTTTTGCAAACAACAACCTCAGCTAAAAAAATGCAATCTAATAAAATACAAGCTAAGCCTATGCTATGTTGGTAAAAAAAAAGTGTAACTAACTAGTTGATGTAGTTGTTTTGCAATTCTACATCTCAAAGCCCTCGATCAAGGGATAGATGGGTCTAGCAAATTGCATTAATGACAAAGCATGCATTAGCTTCATTAGCTTTTAACTCATTAAGTTGTTTTTGCATGTAATGCATTAATGAAAACTGATCTGATATTCGTGGTCACGCCATTCACTTCTACATAATTTAATCTAAAACAGCTATGCTAAACAGACAAAAAGATTAGGGAAAGGTTTCTCACGTATATATAGGCTATATGATCCAGTTCATTCAAAGCTCAGGCTGACTACAGCAGGCACCGCTAGAAGATTTGCTTTGCTTTGTTCTTCTTCTCTCTGAGTTTGCTTATGATTGGCTGACTGCTGCGTCTACTGCCACCTGCTGTTAAAAAGTAATCTGTGCGTGTGTGTGTGTTTGAGCGGCAGAGAGAAATAAAAATAAAAGCTCGTCCTGGGGTGCGTTTCCCGAAAGCATCGTTAGCCAACTATGGTCGCAAGTTCCGTCGTTTTCCAATAGAGTTCAATAGAAATTGCGACCATAGTTGGCTAACGATGCTTTCGGGAAACGCACCCCTGAACGGTCCTGAAGGCGGAGCGGTTTGACCAATCAGATGAAAGGAGCGTTTCAGCACCGCCCACGTCTGCAAATAAAATGTCGAACCCATGAACCACAAACGAAAATTGAAAAATCGATCCAAAATCAAAATGTTCGCTTGAAAAAAATAAATAAAAAAAACTCTCATCACACCATTCCAAACAAGATCAAAAGGTACGCAGAATCATGGGTAATGTAGTTTCTCACCATGATGTGCGATATTATTAAAACAAACAAATAACGTTATACTTCGCTCACTGTAAATGTTTCTTTAAAGGTTTGTAGGGTATAAATCAGAAAAATCAATTACTTTATGGAGAAAACGCTTTGATTTTATGCTTTTGATTGATCCCCGTCCAACTGATTCACCATTCGCTGCTAAAAACGGAAGTGACGCAACGAAGCCGGTGAAAGCGACTCTTCACGTTGGAGAAGTGCACATTTATAGAATTTGTGGCTGTTTTTACCTAACTTTATCGGAAAAGAATGGGCGACCCCGTTGGCGAGCACACGTCCCGACTTCAGCGACAGGTCAGCTTTGCATTAAAAGTTGTACATTTAAAAGTTGTGTTCATGTTTCCATGTGTTTCTCGTGTTCTGACGTAAGGGACTGAAACACGCATCAGGTCTGACAGTCATGATCGTTCAACCTACACATTCGGCTCGGATGGGATGTAAAATACTTTAGTCTAACTGTTTTATTTAAATATGGGGAGAATAGATCATGACGTACTGTACTGAGTGAGCCTTAATATCTAGTGAGCTGCAGAGCTAGGATGCGTTGAGTTATTGTGTGTACTTTGACAATATGAGCATCATGAAACTGAAGTCCACAGCTAATGCTTAAATGCAAAGACGTATGCTTGTGAATGTGGTGTTTTTTTGTACCTACTTTGAACAGAAAGCCACAAAGTAACCAGTCAAAGTGAAACTGAAATAGAAATGTGTAGTATACCAAACAATATTAGTGACGTCACGTGTCTCATTGGTACTGCCCCAATCAGCTTGCACTTTGGAATACTTCTTATAACTGAGATGTGTGCTATCTGATGGTTGTGTGATCTTTGTCCCTTGCCTTCCTGAGATTTTCTGTTTTCAATATGCCATGTAGGAGAGAGAAATCAAGTTACTCCAAGACGAAATCGAGAGACTGAGAGATCCACAGCAGCCGGACTTCACTTCTTCACAGCTGGATGAGTTACGAGAGGAGAACTCCCGTCTGAAGTACCGCCTCAACATCCTGAGAGCCGTGAGTGTGATGTGCTCTTCCTTTAAATGAGATGATTGTAATCTGTGACCGTTTGACCTTCACTGCCAATGTTCAATGCATGTTTCATTTCATTTCACATATTCAATTTTGTGTCAGGAGCTAATGTAAGAATAAAACACAATAATTTGGACTCGTCATGAGCACATTTTATTTTTGTGGTATAATGTTCTGTAAAACTTGTATTTGCAAAGCTTTAGTACATTGCAACAGGATCACAAAACAATCTGCACTGTAATTATGCATTATGGCATATCGGTTATCAGATTTAAAAAAAAAAAAAAATCTGTGTCAATATTGGATATTTTTGTCATCATCTTACACTCACTTAAAGGAGTAGTTCACTTTTCAAAAAACTTTTGCTGATAATTTACTCACCCCCATGTCATCCAAGATGTCCATGTCTTTCTTTCTTCAGTCGAAAAGAAATTAAGAAATTTTAGGATTTTTCTCCATATAATGGACTTCAATGGGGTCCAAACAGTTGAGGGTCCAAATGAGAGTTTGAGTTTCTTTATTTAAAGGGACAATGCACATTAATTAACATGAGTACAAGGTCCAACATGTAAGTGTGCCAGATTTAGCCATACAGGCGAATTTTCATCTGCAGTTTCAGTGCAAACTGTTCAAAGGGCTTTAAACGATCCCAGACGATGAATAAGGGTCTTATCAAGTGAAACGATCGCTCATTTAAAAAAATAAATAACAAAGTTTAAGTTTTATAAGCTCCAAATGCTCGCCTTGCTCTGTTCTGTGATGCGCGTTCGTGACTCTCCCGTTCGAACTCGTTCATCAAAATGAACTAATCTTTTTTTCTAGTCTTTTTGTTCAATTTGTTCGTTGAATGAACGATCCATTGAAGTCCATTATATGAAGAAAAATCCTGTAATTTAGATAAGATAAGACGCTTATTCATCATCTGGTGTCGTTTAAAGCCCTTTGAAGCTGCACTGAAACTCTCATTTGGAGCTTGAACCGTTTGGACCCCATTGAAGTCCATTATATGGAGAAAAATCCTGAAATTTCTTAATTTCTTTTCGACTGAAGAAAGAAAGACATGGACATCTTGGATGACATGGGGGTGAGTGAATTATCGGCAAAAGTTTTTTTTTAAAAGTGAACTACTCCTTTAAGGACTTAATTACAGGACTGACAACCATATTCTGCTGCTGTGTGAACATATACATAGTATATACTAAAATAACACCGTAATTAAATCTGTTGCCACTGTGTTTCCTCAGAGTTTACAGGAGGAGATGAACCAAAACGGCAAGGCGATGTTAAACATCAACCAGAGTTTGCAGCAGATCTTTGGGAAGGCCATCAGCACAGCCTACCCGGACCTGGAGAACCCGCCACTTTCGGTCTCGCCCAACCAGCAGGCCAAGTTTGGCGATTATCAGTGTAACAGTGCCATGGCCATGTCTCAGGTCAGTTTTCTTTATATGATGTCCACATTTTCATTTTTTGGGTGAACTTGTCTGATGTTCCTCTTTAATATCATTCCAAACTTTTTGTTGAAAGAAAAGAATATTGTTTCTTTTGTCCAGTTGTATGGAATTATATTTGCAAATGCATGTTTTAAGATGATGAAAGCTAAAGGACAGAAGGTCAGCCCCAGGGAGATAGCAGAGAAGATTATCCAAAACGTTCCCAACAACGAGTTAATTGAGAGAACAGAAATCGCAGGACCAGGTTTGTTCAGAACATCATTTTCACAAATAATCATTCTAAAGATTTATAATAAATAACCGAGTAGGGATGCACCGATACCACTTTTTTGGAAAACGAGTACGAGTACGAGTACTTGCATTTCAGTACTCGCCGATACCGATACTGAGTACTTAATAAAAAAACAAAAAAAACATGATTTAAATATTTTTATATACAGGTTTTTAGGTCCTTGATTAAATTACTTGGGTAACACTTTATTTCGATTGTCCACTTTACTAACTAGGCTATAAGTAACTTTTCAATTACATGTCAACTAACTGTCATTAGAGTATTAGTAGACTAGAGTATTAGTACGATCAGCTTAATATCTGATAACACTTTATTTATTTGGTCCCCCAACAGACATTCAACTGACTATAAGTAACTTGGCGACTACAAGTAAACTTATTCTCCTAATCCAAAGCCATTCACTTTGAAATTGTTCCACACCAGTGATGCACGGGTTGATCCAAAATGAGCGGGTGCCTGCGCCGCGGTCACCCGCGGTCACCCGCAGTTACGGGTCATCCAAAAATATTTTTAATGATATTCGGGTCGCGGTCGGTCAGGTCGTTTGGAAAAAAATGCCAATTAAACCTTTGTATTTATATAGTACTAGATAGAATTTTCTATGAAATATATAGGCCGAATTTATTTATTGGCTGAATAACTGGCACGAAGATGACACACAAGCTCAGTCTAAACAGTTCTCAGTTCTGTACTGGTGTGATTCGAGAACCGCTGTACCTCTGCGTTCGTTACTATACCGCGGATGCGCAGTATCAGCAGTATCAACAACATGTCTCAGTTCAGTGAACTGTTAGAGTTACTGGAGTAAAATATAATTCGGGATATTGGTTATTTCAACTCGGAGGGACTGTCAGGCATGTCTGAAAGTGAGTAACTGTAGTAACTTGTGGATCAGCACTGACGCAAGACGTGAACTGATGCGAATGATTCAGTTCGATTTAGCGTACTGGTTCGACCGGTTCATTAAAAAGAACCGATTCGTTCACGAACCGGCCATGTCTATGATCACTAGTCTGCAGAGAGATGGAGGCGGCAAGAGAAAAGGTGAAGACTGGGGAGTGGAAGCTCCGCAAATACACAAATAGAAAGAGTAAGTGTTGGGAACATTTACCGAAATAATGAAAGATGATGACCAAAGTGCTGCCTTTGTTATATGTAGGCTACGTCTTCTTGCGATACTGTGTTGTTACACGTTTATGGCCCAATGACGCTACGATGAGCATGTACTACTTTTAAAAAATACGGTCAGGAAGAGGGTCGGGTACAATATTTTCTTACTTTTTTTGCGGTCCGAGTAGCGGGCGGGTAGTTGAAAACGTTGGTAGTGTGCGGGTTGTTTATACATTGACCCGCGCATCACTGTTCCACACGGCTGACATGTCTCCCCATCTCCCCGCTCTGAGCTGCAGCCGGAGCCTGGGGGTGGGCACTCGGCGCCTGTGATTAACCCATTTCTCAGAACATGGTATCGGTCCCCGGGATCGGGGGACTTTTAACGAGTACGAGTACTTTAGAAAATGTGGTATCGAGGCCGATACCAGATACCGGTATCGGTATCGGTGCATCCCTATAACCGAGTACATATTGCGTTGTAGGGTTTATCAACGTTCATCTCAAGAGAATGTTTGTCTCTAAACTTCTCTCAAACCTGCTTGTGAATGGCGTTCAGCCTCCACCACTGGTGAAGAAAAAGAAGGTAGGAGTTTCACTGATGAAATGTTTCACAAAATCGTTCTATAAAGCAGTGTCTTTACTCTTATTGCTGTTTTTCAGGTTATTGTGGACTTCTCCTCACCTAACATTGCCAAAGAGATGCATGTCGGTCACCTGCGCTCCACCATTATTGGAGACAGC